GTTTAAGACTTACTTGATTGTCCTTTGTATAACAAGCTGTCACAAAAAGTATTTAAAGGCAAAATATAACTGTATTACTTCCAACATCTGTAAGTGCATGTGTGTTAGTGGTGTTGTGGTGTGTGTTTGTGTTGTTTTACCGGCAGACGGTGATTCTCCGTGCTGCGAGTTCTGCGTGTGTGCCGGTTTAAAATTAGACACGTTGAAGTAGGATAGCGTGTGGTCAATGAAGCCGTGCATGAGTGCCCTCGACTGAACCATGCTACTGGTAGCAAGCCGAGGATGAAGTCGATGGAAGAATCACAAAGGCCTCCAGGGAGAAAGAGACAGACAGACAGAGTGAGAACAGTTTTCTGTCAAGAGCATTGTCAAGAAGAAAATACACAATGAGACTAACTGTTAAACTTTTCAGTGAAAGCGGTCAAACTATTTATTTTCATTTGTTTAAAAGCACTGTTCCCGTAAACCACATTTTAGAGATACCCGAGTAATGCATTTCGTAGTCAGTATAACGGATAGATGCAAGAAACATGCACAAAAACGGTAACTCTGCATCCAGTTTTCCACTGCCTCGACGCTCCCGGGGAAGCTTAAGCGTGTGTATGTGTGCCCAATGCCCCATAGCTCTAGAATAAATAAAAACTCCTGCTGCTTGTTTTTCTGAATCCTCCACAAATCTGTTTAGTATTAAAAGTAAACTGAATAGGATTTAGTTAGCTGGCCAGAACAAATCTCAAGCAGAACTTGCCTGATTCCGCAAGCGCACACACAGACACACACACACACACCTTGACCTCCACAGATCGGCATTGTTAAGGTGTTTCAGACATGATTCTGGGATCTCCAACAGTTATGACAGATGACATCTTAGAGCAAATGGAGACCTTAGATCTCCATTCAATAATAACTGTTATCATTCTGATGGATAATTGTGGCCAGTTGCAGGGAACACACACGCACCCACCAGACCTGATGAAAGTCGTATTTTGTGTCGAAATGTTTCCAGCAGAGTTTAAGATCAGTGGCAAAGCACTGCTGTATCTTTGTTAACATTCGGCATCTGTTCCTGTACATGATGAGGTTAATGGACTGGACTTGTTTTCATTAAAACTGAATATTGGGACTTCAACATGATATAATATCTTTGAAATGTATCTCTTTGTTATTCCAAGTAAGTCAAATGTGAACTGAAAGCTTTTCATTTCATAAATTTCCATGTAATGACAAAAATATTTAACTGTTAGATTCGTAATTTTTAGTATTTTTCAGGGACATTTTAACTAGTCAAGTAATACTAACTAACAATGTAATAACTCACAAGAATAGGAATAATGAATACATACAGTAACAAAAGTTATACTGTGTGGCATCATCAGAAATGACAACGCCACACAATACATTATACAAGTGTTTCCACAGGCGGAGGACTCCTCAACTGCGCTGTAACGAAATCCGGCTGATTCAACCCCAAACCTGTCCTATATGTTTACACTAATTACAATAATGACTCAAAATTAAATTAGTGCTCACTTATTAAAATGTTAAAGTGTATTCTGTGGGACCTTAAATTAGCCACATTATGTAGGGGCCTTCATGCATTTGTTGTGCATATATCTGCCTTCATCGCAAACTCAATGCAGATAGTAAGAAGCGTTGCATTAATACTTACATTTATAATGACTGAGAATTTTCCCATTCCACTCAGTATGTTGTACCATATACCTATAGAAAGAAGAGCAAGAAAGAGAGTGGTTCAAGTGATAAGGGTTAGGAAACGAGAACAGACAGAAAGAGGAACATCTGTATTAAGCACAGTGACAAAATTGAAACAGGGTTCTGATAGGTAGTGTTACAATTAAAATTCAATTTAGAACTCTTCATAAATAACTCAGTATCATAAACTGCATGTTTTATCTGTATCTGTTATGGCTGCAATTGCTTGTTTTCATTATAAATTAATTTGTCAATCATTCATTCATCTCAATTCATTGTTTAGTTTTTTGGTCCATAAAATGTCAGAAAATGCTGAAAAATTTTCAAGAAAGCAGTTTAGTTCAGACTAAATGCTAACATCAGCATGTTTACCAATTTTGTTTATTTTTCTAATTAGCACTAGACACACAGTACAGTTGAGGCTCATGGTATTTCATTAGACTTGCAGGTGAGAAACCGAAGAAGAAAGAAGCATTGGACAGACTGAGAATGAGACGTCACAGTGATTATTAAAAATTATTACAATTCATCCTGAGGGAGATATAAATGTCTGCTTCAAATTGCATGGCAATCCATCAAACAGTTGCTGAGACATAAAAGACTTAAAAGACCAAATGTGAACCTCATGGTGATACTAAAGGAAAGGTCAGAGGCCTACCAGAGTCATTAGGATTCATCCCCTAGGGACTATGAGCATAAAAATTCATCGAATAGTTGTTAGTTGTTAAGTTATTTCAGTCTGGACCAAAGTGGTGGATGGGCCAACAGAGTGACAGACCAACAGACATTGCTATTTTTGACATTTCCTAGATGAGAATTTATTTAAACCCAAAGGAACAGGTTATCCTTCAAATGACTTACGGTATGACCAAAAGTGCGAAGAGGTCAAGTTGAAATAAAAGCTGAGTTTCTGCTGAAAAGATAACACTGAAGTGATATGAGCTTTCAGCCGACAGCAACAACATGACTATACTGAAGTGTTGAGGGGTGTCAGTTTGTAAACTCAGCAGCGAAACCTGCCTCACTGCCTAAAGGCACCGCTAACCCCAAATTGAATCAGTCTTGTTTCAGTTTTGGTGTCCCATGGGGTATAAATGTTGCCTCACAAGCGTTTCCACTCTGACATGAAGGAAATTATGGAGGAAATATTCAATACTTCAAGGTTTTTTTGGCATATGATGGTTTAAAGATGGATTACATCACCAATTTGCCATTAGTAGCTACTGTCCAATTCTGTGCTGTATTGACTGACTGTCAGTATCTACAAAACCATATCAAATCTATCCACTACCAAATTTGATATTTTGCTCTATATCCCTGGGCGTTATTCATGATATGATTCAAGTTATGCTCTGTGTGTCTGCATTTCCATTTTTTTGTGTCACATCAGCTTACCAATGTCTTTAGCACGTACGGCAACTGGCCTGCGTAGCTCTGTAACAAACTTCTTGGCATCCAGTCTGATCTCGATGACGTTGTTGAGCAGAGCAAAGAGAGGAGCGAGTGGGAATGAAGCCACGAACAGAGAGACGAAACCAAACTGGATGACTGGAGAAAAGAGATGAACAGTCATCAAACATGTTACAGTGGACACAGTGTTGTTGAACATCAGTATTGTTTAACATTTCTTGTTAATTGGTCCAAGTGAATAAGTACAAATAGGTCTGTCATAAATATGTGTTATAATTGTATAATTCAACGAATAAGACCATAGTGCAGACAGGGTATCTGCATTTGAGTGCTGGAAATGAAAGCCACATTTCCCATAAACCCAGTTCCTCCATTCCCCAAGTACACATACCAACACTGGCACAAGAATATGAGGTAAAACAACATATACACATGATACCAACAACAAAGACATTTAGAAATTAAAATCCTGTTTTTGTAGTCCTAACATTGTTTCTTATCATAATTATGCTGATGACATTCAAATGTATATTTCTGATTCAAAAATGAGTGTGGTCCCATAGCCTCCAGCTACATCATTCATGGAAATCCCATTGCTTGTATTCACACAATATAGTACACAATATCTTAAGGACACTGATAAGCCAAGTCACATTTTTTACTGCAGGGCACAGTAGACTAAACAACAACTAAATCATATACTTGTGAGGTTCAAGCCTACATTATATTAGTTCCATGGTTGTCATAACATGTAAAATGCCACTGTCACATTGTGAAATATTCTATCTCGATTATTGCCTTGCAGCAGAGTTCACAGACAGTGGTTGGTTATCACTTTATTCTTTGCCCATCTTTATCTCAAAGCACATGGTTTTTTCAGTTTAGGCCAACTGAAAGGGTTGTTTGAGTATTCAGAGTGGTACATTGGTTAAAGAGAAAGCCTGCACAGTCAAGAGAAGCATGGATTACACTTACTAGCTTGGATCCACCTCAATATGGTGTTCTACAGTTCATTTTAGGTAGGGCTGCATGGTATGGTAAAAAAGTCATATTGCAATATGCATTTTTACAGATATTGCATTATGGTTAACAATTAGTGTGGGAGTTATCATTTTTCTATCACAAATTTAAGTTTCACTGTAATAATTATTTTAAATCATGTTGATGTGAAATTTGTTAGGGTCCGTACCAAACAAACATGTTTTGGCATCTCTTTGGAACTACAGTACTTCATTATAATGCTGTTTAACCGCAATTTGGCTATTGGACATAGCCATATTGTGATTTCGATAATATTTCGATAAATAAACAGCCCTAATTTTAAGCTAACTCCAGCGGGGTCCACTTTCAGTCTTATACTGGAAGTTGGATAATGTCTATAATTGTAATTAAATAATAATGAGAGAATTGTCTAATTCTACACATTTACATAAGAAACAAAGAGATCAATGGATGATTTACAACTTCTCTGTATTTTTCTTTATTTCCAGAATAGCACAGATACTAGCTAAAAATGTAGCACAGCGTTAGTTCAGGCAGGCCACAAAGTCAAGCTCAGCTCAATTCAAGCTACATCAGCTGATCACAGCTAATTGTAAACACACATCAGCTGATGGCTCAGCTGATTCCCTCCTAGCTTCCTATTGGCAAATGTCATTCAGGGCGCCTTATTTA